GTTTTTGTGTCTGGGGAAAAGAGCTGTAACACATTTCAGACATACTCTTCCCTTTGTTATTAAAAAAATAAACGTTTAACAAACTTTGTTCTCATTAATCCGTATCCATTTGTAAGTTTTCATCATCATCTTGTAAAGGTATATTGTCAAGTATAGGTATTCCTTGTAAACCATTGTTATGCAAAAAAGTTCAATTAGATTTAAATGCAGTGTTCACGAAGTACTTGTATATTCGTTTAATCACGAAAATCCTTGCTTTCAAGCAATAAACGGCATTCAAACTAAATGTTACCTTATATAAATATCGGATCCCTGTAAATTACACAATTTAAGGAGGCTGGAGGGTCAACAAATTTTAAAAACCACAAGATTTAACTTATTTTTTTAGATACGGTATCTTAAGCTGTCATCTATCATTTGGCAAAGAAAAAATTAATACATTTTAGTTTTAAAATTTTATCATTTTTGTATATATTTATATGGAGATCCTCATTCAAAAGACATCGAAATAATCTGAAAATGACTGCCACCCCAGCCTCATTAAATCAATCGCGTTTTATAGATACTCAGTAACACAGATTTAAAAAAAAATAGACACAGTTCAAAAGTCAATTTAACTCACAGAAACTTGGGTATATTTAAGTTCAAATTCGTGGGAAAAAATAATTTGAACATAGATAGCAAATATCATCTTAATCTACACTTAATCTCGTAATTTTTTTTAAGCTCAGATACACCATATTTAGCTTTAAAATTTAGTTCGACTTAGGATTCTAAATCAAATTAAAATGACAACTTGTCTGTGTGAAGTTATGTTTCTAATCAGAAATATACAAAGTTATATAACAGGCACGTAGCATCGTTTTTGAAAAGGGGGGGGGGGCAGCCAGAGAATTTTTTTTACTCACCTGGAAAAGTTGACAAGCCAAAAAAAAAAAGCATTACCAAAACTCGAAATTCCTATTTCGTGGAGGTTGGGTGGGGTGAGGTAGAGGGCATTTTTTTGCAGGTGCCGAGTTCTTTCAGTACCAAATTTTTGCATACAATACAATATCTCCCTTACATCATTTTACCATAGTAAAAGCTTGGGGACGACCAGCTTTTAAATAAACATTTTCGATAGTAAAAGTAATTTTGGGAAATAAAAGTGCCCCCCCCCCCCATTGTTACATGCACGTGCCTTTATAACTCTGAAAAAATATATATCCTGCATTTTAATTTAAAAGCATTATTATGTCAATGGAACATAGTTATTAATAATATATCGATGTTTTACCTCTCGCGAATTTTTCACTCATATTCTTTGAAGAGCAATCTGGTTAAAATCAGATTTCTTTTTCGCTCCGAAATTCTGATAGTCGCAAGGTGTACAGCAACGATTAGAATTTCGGAGCATAACAAAGAACTGAAATAAACATTGAACGCAAGCCGTTAAAAATACAAAGGTTAGATATATTTGCATTTAGTAAACATGATGACAGATCAGTCTGCAATTAAAGAATGTGCATCACATGTGATCCAAGAAAAAAAGGGGGGGGGGAGTTGTACTCTCAAAAAGTAAAAGCCGAAACTGAAGCCGAAACTGAAAATTGTGTTTTGTTAATTTATATATATGGTATCATCAAACTTCAAATTAAGATAGCCGTCTTTATCATAATAACCATCATATAAGATTAAGATTTAATTGTGATAAAAAAAATTGGAATAATGGACTTCAAGCTAAAAATTATGTTCCATTGACTTTCTTGATTAATCGTTTTCTTGGAAAAACTAGCAAAATCAATGACCAACAAAATTTCCAGTAAAGAGAAATAATTTTTTAATTCAGCGAAATATAAACTCTCTCCACATTTTATGAATAGCTCACAAAGGAATCAGAAGAGTAAGCCATATTAAGCTGTATCGGGATTAAAACGTTCAAAATCCGACAACGACAAGTTGACGTCGTAACGTCATTGCGTTATTTTCTTACTAAAACTACCGATATTTAAAGAGCTCTCTTGGAGAAATGGTTTGAGATAAAAACAAAAATTAAAATGATTTAGGAAGTGGTCACTCTAGACATCTTTCAAGAACAATTTAATTAGAATTTGGGACAGGGCGGATTTTTGCGCATACCGTACTTTCTTCTTTAAGACAAAGCCACAATATATGCTGAATACCCTGAAATGAAATGGTTATATATGTAAGATGTGTAACACATCATGTACAACTTTAAAGTCTACAAGATTTTAAGCTACCCGTATTATACAATAACACTACTTTTTCAAAGTTATGAAAAATTCTCCACACAAGAAATTTATTTATGCAAAAGATAAAAGGTTAGGGTACACTTTTAAAATACATTTTACACAAATCACATAAAGAACATTACAAATCATTTCTTCGTGCTTGTTTTCCTTTTGGAACATCTGTGAACAGATATTCTGTTTTGTCTTATTGATACACAAAAAGCGTCCAAAAATCATTTGGAATTGTTGTGTTAAACCCTGATACTCAGAACTTTTAAGAGTTTTTGATGTGTGCCCTACTTAGAAATGTTTACAATGTAACAAAAATGAAACTCATAATTTGTTTTAATCAGCAATGATAAAGTCATCAGGTTTACACATGCTTTTCTAACACATCATGTACATTTTTTCTACTAGTGTGTCTTTGTTCACAAAAAAATGAAATCAACAGTACTTAACATTCCATATTAAGAAATATGAACCCTAGCTATTAAAAATCTAAAAGTATATTTGTGCATCAATGCATTATGTTTAACAAAACAATCTCTTTCACTGTGATGAAAATTGTCTTCTTCATATAACATGCAGATGAAGAACTTCTTTGGATGATGTCATTTTCACATGTAGAAAAGAAACTAATTCAACTAAAACTAAAGACAGTTATTAAAATTTTAAGGACATTAAAGGATGATATCAAGACCAAAGTCTAGGAATTGATAAAATTCTACAATTATCATCTAAAGATGTATATGTTTGGATTTATTTTTTAATTCACAAGCAAATGATATGCTGCCATTTAATCTTTCAAACTAAAAAAAATCTATACTTTTGAATTAAAAATTTCAAAATCTAAAGGAGTCTTCCCAATACCTATCTATTTATGACTGAAGGTATGTAAATCACCAGAGTTGCTGTATTGCACCATTTGAATAAAAGTCATATCCACATTCTTGACTTTTTTCCCAAAACATTATTTCAAAACATAAATTATTCCAACCAGTCTTTCTCTATGCAGTGATAAAATTTTTTTTACATAATTCTAAGGTATTACATAGTAATAGTCTTTAAACATCCTTGAACATAGTGCATATGATTTACATTTTCAATTCTTTCCAAAGAATATGCTATGTCACCCAATGGAGCTGATATAAAGTCTCTAGGTTATCACAAAATGTTAAAGTGACAATAACTAATCAAGCAAATTATATGCTGGCATTTAATCTTTCAAACCTAAAAAAAAATTCTATACTTTTGAATGATAATTTCAAAATCTAGATGAGTCCTCCCAATACCTATCTATTTATGACTGAAGGTATGTAAATCACGAGAGTTGCTGTACTGCATCATTTGAATAAAAGTCATATCCACATTCTTGACTTTTTCCCTAAACCTTATTTCAAAACATATATTATTCCAACCAGTCTTTATCTATGCAGTGATAATAAAATTTTTACAGAATTCTAAGGTATTACATAGTAATAGTCTTTAAACATCCTTGAACATAGTGCATATGATTTACATTTCAATTCTTTCCAAAAGAATATGCTATGCCACCCAATGGAGCTGATATAAAGTCTCTAGGTTATCAAAAATGTTAAAGTTACAACAACTGAATGTTACCCAGGAGAAAAATGATCCAAAAATCTATAGAAAATCTCCTGTTCATTCTTTACTTATGATGTGAAGTTTGTAGGTTACAAATTATTGTCAAAGGTAGTTATCTCAATAATCTCATGCTTTGACCCTGACAAAATGTTCTATAATACTAAGTGTATTACCCTAACCTGTTCTGTGTAGTAAGCATGAAGTCAAAGGAATGATAGAAATATTCAAGATATTATTGCATCACTGATTAAGGGACACTTACATCTTTAGTTGGGTCCTATTGAGTCCTATTAAATTCAAAATAGGACACACACATACACAAACAAAATGTATTTACAGATCCAGGAAAGTAATAATTACACCAAAGCTGGCTTTTAAACATCTGTGTAATTTGTTAGGGGTTGTAGAAATTAGATGAAAAATAAAGGATCCAATGTATAAAAATCATACATAACATCTGTTTTCAATTTGACCTGGAGGAATTAAAAGTTAAATTTAGATATTTTGAAGTCTGGGAATTAGTTTTTTGAGGATCTCATACTATCTGAGAATCACAATATCAATTCAAGGATTTGATTAGACCTCAGTTTGATAAATGACTGCAATTTATCTATTGTTGTGTATGACAGGATATGAAAGATATGTAGGGGAGAGCTTTTGACCTTTTTTTTCCTTCATCATAGTGTAAAATATATATTATACCGGTCTTTATCTATGTTGTGAATATAGGATTTTTTTCAGAAACCCTAGGTATTACATAGTAATAGTCATATAAACACCCTTGAAGATTGTACATTTGATTAACATTTCAATCCTTTCCTAAGAATTTGCACCTAATTTTTATAAAGTCTATAAGTTATCACACAATGTTGAAGTTATTGCATTACAAGCCTCATATCAGTAATCTCAGTAACTAACTTTTTACCCAGGAGTAAATGATCTCAAAAAATCTATAGAAAATCTCCTATTCATTCTTTACTTATGATGTGAAGTTTGTAAGTTACAAATTATTGTCAAAGAAGTCATCTCATTCTTATGCTTTGGACTTGAAAAGGTGTCCAAAACAACAAAGTGTATTCATATAACCATTCTATATGTAATAAGTATGTACAATATGGTATGATAAAGATATTCAAGATATTCAAGATATTATTAAATCACAGATTATGGGACACTTGCATCTTTATTGGGGGTCTTATTGAGACCCAATTTAAATTCAAAATTAAACATGATACATACACAAACAAAATATATTTACAATTCCAGGAAAGTTAAATAATTACATCAAATCCAGTATCTAGATATCTATGTAATTTCTAGGGGGTTGTAAAAATTAGATGAAAAATAAAAGTTTTAAATGTGTATAATTCCCATACATAACAACAGTCTTCAATATGAATTGGTAAAAATAAAAGTCACATTCAGATACTTTGAGGTCAGTGAGAATTAGTTTTTAAAGAGCTCATGCTATCAGAAAATCATATTTTCAATACTTGATTTGACTAGATCTCAGTCTGATAAATGGCTACATCTTATCCATAGTCAGTGTCTGACAGTGAAAGATACAATCCTGGGTCCTTTCTTTGTCATCCTGTAAACCACAGTCTATGACCGTACTGGTTAAATTGGTTGGAAATCATATTTATCTATGTTCTTCTTAAATCCTCCATCCTCTTAAGTTTGGTTTTCTTGTTTCAGTGTTCCAAGAGAGGATATTCTGTTAATCTTTGCATAATCTGAAAGTCTGTCACCATTCTAAGAGTAGACATAGATCATTTCCATAAGCCCTCACAAGAGAATCCTGGAAAATAGAAAAAATGTCTAAGTTGAAAAAGAAAAATTGTTATCTAATATAAGCTTGATGGAATTCTAAATATAGACAAAAAAGGGGTATAAATACAAGTTGTAACATCAGAATTTGACTTTCCATATCAACCATGGGTAACATCTCTAGTAAAGAAAAGAGTAAAGGAATAAGTAAAATTCAGTTTGGAGAGAGAATTCTTTCAGAGAAAGATGTAGACAGAGGTATACCAGTTAAAATAAAAAAAAGATGGCACTATTGAGATCATTTCTCAACAAGAATATAACCAATTATGTCCAGAGAAGGGTGATCCTAATGTTGTCAGAGATTACATAGAAAGACCCTTGATTGCAGAAGAAGCCAATGAGGAATATAACCATTTATTACCAAAAGAGGGTAAGAATTACTTGGATTACCCTGAAAGACCTTTGACTATAGAAGAAGAAGTCAAGTTTATAGATGATAAGAGAAAACAGTTGTCAGAAAAAAGATTGTTAAAGACACATGATTTTTAGCCCACAAAATCATTGGAGATAAAAGGATTACAAGATATAAGGATTAATGGAGGAAGTCCAAACTGAACTCTTGGAAGACATTAAGGCTCATTATGAGAGTAACTTTTCCAGTGTTTGTTTATTACAAAATTATGTATTCTGATTAAAAAAAAAGTTTTCACTTTCATTTGTTGTGCCTAAGACCATTTCAATTGACCTTATGATCAAGATTGTGATATATACATTCTGATATTATCATCTATGATGTCTCTATGATGTTTACCTCAAAAGGTTGAATAAGGGTATTTGTGTTCAAAGACCTGAAGAAACTTTACAGACAGATCTAAGATTTTGGAAGCATACATATTAATGAGGTTAAAGGAGATATAACACTAGATTATTTTAAAAGAAAGAACACAAACTCATAGAAATTATATTGTAAGTACCTTTTATGAATAAAGTGTCATGCCCCATGGAATATTTTTATAAACAGGAGAAGGTTTACAGCAGTCCTATACACTCATAAGAAGATCTTGGGTAGTAGAAACACTAGGAAATTTTATTTCCACACAATCAGATCATCTTACATCAGTTATAAAGTTACAATCTTTATACATAGTTAAGAGGGCCATTAAGATTTCTTTTTTGGTCATCCTGATGAGCCACATTATAGTATTCTTTCCCTGTGATATAATGTTAATATTAAATGAAAAATTGAGAATTCATAAGCAATTGGAGTCAAAACTTGCTATATTTACCAACTATGCTATTAAGGAAGCTGGGGGTTAACAAATTAGCCATATTTAACTTATTCTTTAGATATGCTATCTTTAGCTGTTAACTATCATTTGGCAATGAAAAACTTCATACATTTTAGTTTTAAAATTTGATCATGCATTTTTGTATATATATTGATATGGAGCTCTTCTTCTTCTTCTAAAGGATATCAATATGGTTTAAACATGACCATGACCACCAAGCCCTCTTTATTTAAAAAATCATATATCATTCACTTATCAATTCCAAAATATAAACATGCATATGTAAAAAAAATAAATAAATAAATAAAAGTTACAATTGTATCTCACTGAAACTTTACCTTCAAGTTTGTGTGTTTCTATGTTGATTGACAAGCTGTTTATTTTCAAAGGAAGACCAGCAGCCAGGCTTCACTTCATAGAGAATGGATTATAGATGGTTAGGAACAAAACATATCTTCCAGGTTGAGGACTGCAGAAAATAAAACCCATTTTGTTATTATGATTTAAATTATATGAGACAATGCCTCTTATAAATGTAATGCAAAATAATATCGCTTATATATATGGATTCCTATGCTCTAATCATATTAAATGTCATTTGTAAAATTTATTTTTTAAGACAGATTTTTTAAGGATAGACTTTAAATGATGACATGAATAGCAGGCCATACTTTAAGCACATAACAAAACATTATCTCAAATTACACAGAAATGGGCTATTTAGCATAGCTGACATTAAATATATAGGTGAGTGATAACATAATCACAATCATTAACAATGTGAAACAACTTTAAAAGACCTACACGGTGGATTACAAGCCTTTTACACTGGGGTAAAATCTTGCCGAGATTCGCCATGGCCGCCGAACCCGGACCCGACTGTATAAAGATGAAGTCATACATTCCATGTTAATGACTGTAGAAATAAGACCATTTTGTTAATATGAAAGAGTACTGCATGAAACAATGCATGTTTAAATACAACATGTACAATGTCAAAAAAGATCAAGAAGATATTTGTTTTTAGACTCAAAACAAATTGTTTTTAACATTAACTCGAGATGAGAAAAGTTATTCATGTTATCTTTAAATAGTAAAAAAAAAAACACAATTACTGTATTAATATCACAAATAAAATGATTATCAAATTAATTATTTATACACTAAAAGATTTTTTATTAACAACAGATTCAATTTTGTTTAATACCTGTCAGTACTGCATACAGAAAAATACATTTTTTTAAGCATCATCACAGTACATGTAGTTCTTCATGTTCTTAAATTTTTGAAAAGCTCATTACCAAGAAACAAAAGTGAAAATGAAATTATATGTATGCCATATATCACAAATATTTAGAATCAAAACAAATGTAAATGACTTAGAATTAATCTTCTGTAAATTCCCTCCTTTTCTCTTATTAGATTCCTAATCAATATTTCTTTGATCACCATTTACATGATTTAGTAAGTCTGAATTCCATGGTAACATACAAAATGAATTATGAAATTATATCATCATTTATACAAAAGGACTTATTAATATTCTGAAGATCCCTTAATCATGTGTTAATATATTTTAAGTTAATTGAGGGTGTGCTTATACAGTGTTATATGAATGTAAGTTAGAGACAACAGATCACATAAGTATTACACAGTAATTAAATTAACCATATAATCATGCTTAAATGCAAAGATGATCATCATAGTAAATGTAAAAAATTAAAACAAGACAAACTTACCAGATATATCCAACTATATGCCTAATAAGCCAATCCATTAAATAATCCAGTGAAATAACATCTCAGCTGATCCTGAAAAAATCATACAATTCAGTGATACACAAATTAACCTCATTTTACAATGTAAGTAAAGTAATAATTTACAGACAAAAGGGACAGAAATGTAAAAAATACCATGTATTTTACCAAAATTTAGTGAATATTTTTCTGATTTAAATTCAATATCATAGAATGACCCATCATAGAAATATTAAATGTACTCAGAGTTACATGCAGGTTTTACAACTGTAAATCACATGAAATGAGGATAAATACAGCATTTATATCAAAACAAAACTTTACATATAAATCATGGTTAAATGCAAAGATAATGTAAACAAAAATAAGGCAAACTTACCTGTAGAATATGTCTGTCAGAAAGAAGATTTCAAAAATGAACCCGCTCTCAACATTCACATGGTAAGAATGCATCAGGATGTTTACTTCCGTGGTCATAGAGAAATTGAGCTTTATACAAGAAAAGCTTCATAGCATGACAATCATCATAGAAAAAGAGAGAAAAAACAAAAAAAATAGTCCTACATTTTTTGAAAATCTATGTTGACTTCTTAGAAACAAAAGTGAAAATGAAACTTTAATTTTACAAGTGTATGACGTCATAATGCATAGGTAAGCTCGCTGACTAGAATGTGTACAAAATCGTACACAGTATGATTAAAAGTAAGTCCAACATATTTATGCACAAGACCCTAAACAAGCCAATGGTATAATAAACCAGCGCTGGAAATTTAGGATCACTCTTTGGTTGATTCTGAATAAAATCTGTGTTCTTGTTATCATCTGTCTTGTGTGTTATTTGTTATTGTTTTGAGGAAATCCAGTTTGAACAGGCTGGCTGGCTAGACCGTCTAGACTGTGAATGAATGCGTGACGTCACAATGACATTCTTGACTACTTGCCAAAATCGTAGTAGCAGCGTTATGAATCGTAGTAGCAGCGTAGTGTATCATGTAAACACAGTGTAAACACACCCTATATTTAGAGGGATATATGTACTGAATTGACCCGGCTATCCCCCACAGACCCCTAATCTGCACTCCCTTGACCAGGCTATCCCCCCAGGGGCTGCACTCAGTTGACCCGGCTATCCCCCACAGACCCCCAGGGGCTGCACTCCCTTGACCCGGCTATCCCCCTCAGTCCCAAAAGTGCACTTAGTTGACCCGGCCAACCAGACCCGTTATACTACTTATCTTGTCGAAAAAGAGTAAATTTAAATATAACTGATGATCAATTTTTAAAGGTGCTGGCGTGGTCCTCGTTTTCTCATATTAAAGAATTCAAATCAGATTCCTTAAATAGAGTGTTGATATGGAAATAAGCAGAAAATATATCTTAAAATTCTAAAAAATATTTAGTTTGTTGGATACGTACCCATAAATGTAGATTCCCAAGACTTTTATTATTGATATCTTTGAACGGCTAACCTAACTTTTAATTTTGACTATCATCCAAACAGTATCTGGATGCAAGAAGCCAGCATTCAGGGTTTAAAACTTAGAGTTTACAAAATCGAACATTTTTCCTTCTTGGTTACCATATCAACACTGTTGTTTTCTTCATCAAATTTTATCAGTATATGATATTCAACTTTAGTTCTATCAGATAATTACCACTCAAGGTTAGTCATATATTATATTTATTTTATGGCAAGTTAATTCTTAATGCGGAAAACAAAATTGCCTTTTAACAACTTTGTACATTGTTTTCTTTGTAACACCGCAAAGAAGCAAATAATCCAATGCAAGGACCTAAAATTGACTATTTGTGCGTCTTGAATTTTCATGTTTTCTCTCGAATCAGTAGCATTAACCCAATCTAAATTACTAATTTTACTTGGTTACACTGTGTAACCATGGCAACCATAAAAGCTTTTCATAGATTTTTTTTTTTTGCTAATACCTAATACCTATAGTTTGTTTTCGTGTCCGTCCGTCAGTCTAGCTGTCTGTCTGTCAGTCAGTTTCTCTGTCTGTCTGTCTCTGTATGTCTGTTTGTCAGCAAAATCTTTAACCTTGCCCATAACATTTGAGTTAGTCAAGCAATGACTTTAATAATTTACATATGTATTCCTTGCGAGAAGACCTTTCTTTGGGAACCACCAAATTTGACCTTTTGACCTTGGAATTTATTTTTACACAAAAAATTCAGACTTATACTCTGGCCATATCATTTGAATAGTAAATACAGTAAAAGCCATTGATTACCACTGACTTAGATATATATTCCAGACAGTTTCTTTAAAGTATAAGTGGCAACAAGGTGTCATATTTTTGTAAGAATGTTTTTTTTTTTACTTTTCTGAATTTTTATTAATACTCAGTTAAGATTTAAAGGTACTTGGACATAGATTTGAAGTTAATATCTTCTCTTTAAACTCCCGACATAAATATTTTTATAGCATTTCACACAAAATTAATAGAAAATCTTATTTCATTTAAAAATTATTAAAACTTAAATTTTTTTGGTGGGTTTGATTGACACATCCTTTAATAGTTTAACTAACTTTGAAATGAAAAAAAATTTTTTAAATCTATTTTTGTGTGAATTGCTTTTTCAAAATATATACGTCGTAATATTATTGAGAAAATATTAACTTCAAATCTGTGTCCAAGTACCTTTGAAGTAGCTGAAAATCTCAATTTTTACAACCGTTATTATGGCAACTAAGTCACATAGCAACAAAAACATTTTTGATATATGTTTCTGGTGGCTAGCTCTAATAATGGGTAAAGTTTCTGTATACCCTTTAAATTAAAGTTTTGTGACCATGCGTGGCAACAAAGTTTACGTGGTTACAGAGAATGGCTCTCTTAATTTGTCTACGCAATGTATTCTTGATCAATTTATAGGTGTTGATAAAGGTGTGTCCTTAAACGGAAGCTTATTTTAATAGGGCACATGATTCCTCTTTCCAATTCTCAGGGAATAGTTCTTTATTTATGCATGTTTATGTCGATGTCTGTTATATAGATTTAGATCGATAGATTTTTATTATCTCTACCCTATACGTACATTGATATCATTATAGCAAACCCACATACCATGTGCACACTTTTAATACAAAGGTATAATAAATCGCAGGGCAATTCTAAATAATTTGGAATTAATCCTTGAAAAAAGAACACTGATTATTCATTATTTATTTAAACAAACCAATCCTTGTATGGCCTTGAATGTTCGCTGTGTGTCTAGTGCTTCCGTTGAATATATATGTTTAACTTTTTTTTTTATTTTGTAAAAGAATGAATCTGCATCCTATACAATAGGGATATAATTTATCTAATAGATGTATTATAAACGTCCGTTAGCATTCTCCTAACGATGAATTCGATTTGTTATCAGTGTCGTATTATGAATGATAATCACATTTTACATTATATTTTGCCTTAAATATTATAAATGCTTATTAATTCTTACTCAAATTTTATTGCTTTTTATTTTATTCCATAAACCAGTAAGAGTGTATTTTTCTTTCATGAGTTCATGTAGGGTTCATGTAAAAGATTTCATCTCCAAGAAAATATAAAGGTTTTAAACAGAGCTGTCTCATCTTCTATCAGTATAAATGTTTGTTCTTGTAAATCGTATAAGCATTGAAATACCTCAAAACACAAAAATGTCTCATGACTTACCTCAGCTGGCAAACAATAACCCTTTACGACAAAATGCAGGATTAATATTCTGAAACAATAAACTGTCTTTAGTATACTTTTGTTATCAAAAACTGATTTTTGGAGAATCTTTTCAATAGTTAATAATATACAAATATTGACCGAATTCCAGGGCAATATGCGTTTTGTCGGACCCAATAACCATTTTGTCTGCCTGAAGCCGTTGGGTCGAAAGCAGACAGTTTGGTTCGAGGGTCGACAAAACCCATGTTGCCAGAGAAGATAGCAAATAAATGTTCTTTTAAACCTTTTTATTTTAATTCATTTTGTCATATATGTATTTTGTACTGTATTCCGTAATGTAACCTCAGGTAAGTTACTGATGAATCAAATTTCTAAAGATTTTACCATAGTTAACCAAAGTTCCAAAGTTGTCTCCATAGTAAATCAAAGTTCCAAACTTTATACCATAGTTATTCAAAGTTCAAACGTTTTTACAAAAGTGAATCATTTTTTTTATATTTACGTATACAACTTATATAGCTATAATTTTTTTTTTGTATTTGTAATCTTTTTTAACAGCCTGTCACCCAGAAAAGCATGCAATATTTGAAAAATCGTCCAGAAAAGTGTATAGAGCTTTTCATTTTCTCATATACTTTTAGTCTAAATTTATATCGATAAAGTCAATAAAAAATTACAAAGGTGGTAAAACTTTAATTACTCTAAAGAATCAGGGGCATTAAGACCCTAAATATGCCCCAACCATACTGGACAAAATATTATAAAGATTAAAAGAATTATGATTGAATCACACCTTATCAGTCATATTTTGACGAAAAAACCACTATTAAGACAATTTGGGGTCAATACAAAAATAACACAATTTTCACTGATTTCTGGAAATTTTTAATAATTTTTTTTCTGTAAATATAATTAAAGAAATAAAAGATGGATTTTTAATACAAATACAACAGAAAGGATCTTAAACATGTGAATAGAAATTATTTTTTTTAGCTAAAAGTGGTAAAAAACAGATTTTAATGTGTAACAGTTGTTTTTATGTTCAAAATTAGAGATATCTGGGAACTTAAGATAACTTTAAAAGGACTCCACTCACAATTTGTACTTTATGGTAAAAATATTTCAAATAAAATCCTATTAACTCTATCAGAAACTGAGGAAAAATAACCTTTAATGTTAATTTTTGAAAGACAAGTACTATTTTAAGTTTAACATAGAGAGACTTTGAATGCACAAAGTGAACAAACAAGAAATGTATTCAACTAACATTTTTAATAACAATTCCTTAAACTTGACAAAAACTAGAACTGTTGAAACGGGACTAAATACCCCCACTGGGTTTTTCAGAAGTAAGTTTTTCCATAATAAAGATATGTATCAAACACGAATTATGAAATTTTTCATCCGGTGACCTTGAACTTCCCAATGACCTTGGTTCAAGGTCATGATTTACACACCCTTGGGTCATGGACGATCTTTGAGTGAAATGAGAACCTACCAAGTTTATCCATAAGAAAGATATGGACCGGACACAAATTATGAAATTTTTCTTCCAGTGACCTTGAACTTCCCCAAATGACCTCGGGTCAAGGTCATGACACACCCTTAGGTCATGAGCAATTTTAGTGTGGAGTAGTAGATTCTAATGTCCCTCTGTAAAAAAGATATAGACCGGACACGATTGCACACAGACGGACAGACAGACAGACGGACAAGGTGATTCCTATATACCCCCCCCCCAACTTCGTTTCCGGGGGGTATAACAACAATAAAGGATTTGCAAAAACAAATTCCAGAACTCCCATCACCCACCTATACGTTTACCAAAAATATCATAGAAGTTTAACATCACACCACTCATG